ATCCTCTCATTTTCAAAACGTTTTCTACGTCAGCACTCTGTACATTAAAATAAATACTCGTGTTATTCTCAGAGCTAGCTCTGGTTTTGCTTTGTATGCTTTGAGATATCTAAAACGGATATGCACATTGAAAAGGAATAAAATACACACTATAGTAGATCCATAAATTGACCCAAGCAGTGACATAATCTGTTCTATACGATTAACTCTTCATTTTGGTGACAAACATATTTCTTATCTCTTTTTACTACTTTGCAGTTATGCAGTTTTTAGATACCAAAGGGCGTAAAATACTGAGGTATACTTAGACTTTTTAATCAGTTACCTTGGTGTTCATTGGAACAAGTTTAAGGCTGGAAGAAGATTTTCCTGAGTGAGGGAAGAGGAGGGAGCGCTGTGTGTGTTAGGCAGGATTCCCATCCTGTTGCCAAACTAGTAACCCTTTGGGGAGCTCAGGAGTTAAAGCTGCTGAATTAAACGCAATAATTTTCCATAAGAGTTTAAAAGGCCTGCAGGTATGCTTGTAGTTGGGTGTTTCAGCTAACACTCTGTAGCATAACCCTACCTAAAGCCTCATTTACATCTTGGCAATTAAAATATATACTGTATTTTATGTCTGTTCTCCTATATTGCAGTGTAGGGCTTTAGCGTTGAGGCTTTTTTATTGTGAAAATGGTATGTAACTGTTTGTTTTCTTTTCACTACAGTGTCTTTATTTCACATTGCAATAGGTGATTAAGAGGAACTGCTGAAAGGCTGTCCTGGGGAACTGTAAATACAGTGTAAAACCTCTACGGCTGCATCAGTCAGCCTTGTATCTGAGCAAAGCTTCCACAGTAGCTTTGACGCTTTTGCTTGAATATGCCTCGTGTTCTGTTTTGGTATTTATGTTTGAGCTTTCTATGACACTTTGCATAAAAGAAAGAATTTTGATAATTTATTTCTATGACACTTTGCATAAAAGAAAGAATTTTGATAATTTATTTGTTTTAAATATTATTTGTACATACCTTATCTGATTTGGTAATTGAATACTCAATGTGCTTAATGATGGTGCAGGGCTGGCACATACAAGAATTAACTCTGTGGTCCCAGTGACCTGGTCATATAGAAGGAAGGCATCTCTGGTTCTCCTGCTTCCCATCTAAATTAAGTTTAAAAAAAAAATAATGTAAGTATTATTAATTTAAAAACGGCCACCTCCTCTTTAGGAGGAGATGAGGTTTGGTGTTTTTGAAATTTGGAGTGCCACTGGGAGAGGTGCAGTCTGAGTGAGACTGCAGTCAGCTAAGCTGTGTACACAAATGGGCTGGGCATGACTGTATAAGAGCTGACATGTCAGTCTGGTGATTAGCGTTCGCTCTCCTCTTTAATCCAGCCAGAAACCTGTAACGTTGGACAGATCACTGGAAAGGTCACGGGAGATCCCAATGCTTAGTGACACAGATGAGAATCCTCATTTTTTAGACTTAGAAACGCATTAGACAGAAACTTGAAATCAGGGCATGCACCGATGAAGTCTTTTTTTCTATTTTCTTCAGTATGTGCCGGCCATTTCATGTTAGCACTGTAATACAACATGTAACAGTATTTAGTATGGCCGTTTTGACGTCATTTTGTGAGTGACTTAGTAGTTCAATAGCTTTGTAAATATTGCTCTATGAAAATCCATTCATTTAATTGGAGCAAAGCTATTTGATGGGCCCTAAATATTGACATATGAGCAAAAATCATTTGCAAATGAAGGCAAGTGCCTTTGCAAAGCCACAAAATAAATATAATTTTATTTGGTTTAGAATTTTAATCTGATTTGTCAAAAAAGACTGTTCATCTGCCAAATTAGTTGCTGTGTTCCCTTGGGTTTGCACTGTACTCATTGAGAATATTTCGCCTGAGCTTCTTCTAAGGCATAGTAAAACAAAGCTAGTCAGTGCATTTGAGTAACTCCCCCTGAGATGGAGCTTTTATGTTAGAGGAAACAGAGGAAAAGAAAAAAAAGAAATATGTTCAAATTTGTGCAACAATGGTTCATTTAAATCTGAAGAGCTGAGTGGGAAATACTGTTAATAGTTTAACTGCAGTCATCGCTGTAAGGAAGGAGCTGAGCAGATGCGCTAACTGACAGTTTGGGGGTTTTTTCTTAAAATATTTTTCTCAATACTTGAAAATATTTCTGTAACGTTGATGGTGAGGGGTGCTTTTTAAAAACGGGGTCGGGATTTCACGGTGGGATGAGTAAGTCCTGCACAGTCCTGAGAATATAAAACCTCCCACTTCAGTAATAAGATGTAGGGGTCAGATCTTGTAAAGCCATCTGCAAGTCTTCCTTTGTTTGACTTGTCCTTGCTGGCTTACTGCTTAAATGTTAACATTGTTAACTGATATCTCTTTCTGTATTTGGCAAATATGTTTGCGTTCTCTTTTTCTGTTTGTGTTCTGATCATGTAAGAGAACATTTATTTGCAGACAGATCTTTAAGATAGCTTTCATTCCGTCTCCTTTCAGAGAGGTGTATTAATTCACTGAATTCACTGATGAAATAATTTCAAAGCCATGAGCCTCAGGATATTGTTTCCTAAAACTTGCTGAGATAGACTATTAATTTTTAAAGTTAAAGCTTACTGAAGGTAAATGAGTGTTTTGTATAATACCAGATTAAAAAAGATCTTAGAGGATTTTTTTTTTTTTTAAAGCCCACAAAAAAATCCACTAATCTTCATTATTGTTGCAGTATAATAACTGTTAAAGTGTCTCCATAATGTAGTCCTGTTAAACAGCTTGGGGTTTTTTTGTTGGGTTTGGTTTTTTTTTACCTTTTCATGCTTTGCCTGGAGAAGCAATAGATAACCCAGAAAAATGTCTTTTGAAGTTTTATTGAGTTCATTGACTTCCGTGGGAAGCAGATCAGTACTTCCTCATGCTTCAGTACTGATTAAATCTTTGAGGATTTTAGCTTGGTATAGTAACTAAGTATTGTGTAAAGAAGGCTTTGGTGTTTGGGGTGGGATTTTTTTGGAGTGTTTTCTGGTTTGGTTTGGTTTTTGCATTATGAAGGAGCTTGGAAACCTGAAAAAAAAAATCAAAATTATTTCATTTTTGATGAAGAATAGCCTATGTCAGTTCTCCCTTGGCACACTTCCGAGACGTTAGGAATTAGTAGCCCTTTAAAGCCTTGAAATACTTAGATGAAAGGGAGATATACTTCCACATGAAGTCTTTACACCGCAAAAGAATAGCTGTATGAATCTTAATAATTTTAAAAATCATGATTCGGTTTAGTGTTAATAAAACACAAAATTTTTAAAATATCTAGAATGTTGTTTTTACATAGAAAGAACTTGCATTCATTAGCCAATGAAGTATTTCAAAATTTGAGTGTTTCATAAATTAAAATGATGTGCTACATGGGATTGCAGACATCTAAACAGTCATAAATTTAATAAACTATTCTGTTATAAAACTTTGTTTTCTCGGACCATGTACATATATTTCATTTTCTTTTAGCCACTTAACATTTGAAAATATAGTAAGTATAGAAGAGAGTTTGCTTAAATGAAAGGCTTTGTAGCCTTGTCTTTTAGTCTGAGATTCACACAGGTCAAGAAATGCAAGAGCTTTTCAGAGAATTTCAAAACAGAATGATAAAAAACCACCTGCCATTTACTAGTTTGCATTATGTTTCTCTAGGAAATAAAATACTCCCTAAGAATCTATTCAGGATTGACAACTAATTAGTTTGATTGATATTAAATATTTAAAATTAAATAGGTGAAGAGCTCTAAAGAAACTGAATAGAGTGCAGATGAGTTGGCTGTTGCCTTGTGATATTTGCTGTAAACTTGTCATTTTAATCCTACATCACAAAGGACTTATAGTACTGCATAAAATAAATTATTTGTGGTATTTAAGTACTTAAAATTGAGGGGAGCACCCAGGAGAAGGATCTCCTTGAGAGAAGGGAGAGAGCCCTAATATATAAGGTGTTTAAAAAAGAAATATCAAGGCCTCAGTTAACAGGTGCGGTTGAAAAGTATTAAAATCATCTGAACTGTTCTTCATTTAGATGTTTTGCCAGCTGTAAAGGTACAAATCATACTTCTTATTTTAGCATTGTTCTTTAAAGAAGAGAGACAAAATTTCCAAACTATTTCTTACTCTGTTTGAAATGCAGATATTTTGGTTACGTGTTCAGGACCCAAGAGATGAAACTGAGAAGCCTTGTTTTGAAAACTAAGTGGAATGAAACAGTGAAGAAAATTAAATAGTAATAGAAATAATATTCTTACTGTAACATTCCCTAAAAACTTGAGGGAAAGAAAAACTTCTTACTGTCATTTACAAATAAAATAGTTACTTGTTTTCTAGCACTAGTTATATAGAATATACTGCCTACATATCGCCTAGAAAGTTTTTGTAGCTTGCTGCGGAATTTATTCTCAATGAGAAAAAACAAATTCTTGGAATATAAATCACAATAAAAAGTTGTAGAAGTCTGTATATAAAAAGCAGACATTAAAACCAAATGTTTCTGACAAGCAGAAGGCAGTCAGACTTGCCATTAAAGCATGCATACTTCTCAGAAAAAGAGGAAAATACTTACCTACATATATATTTTAGGTGAGTAATACATCCTTAAAGGTGAAAAATTGCATTTTTTCTGCCCAGTTCTCAGTCTGCTTTGGATCTTCTAATCTGTTGTTTAAAAATAAGGACTAGTGTGTTGTCACTCGGAAGATTTTCTTTGCTAATTTTTTTTTTTTTTTGGATCCGGGTGGCTCATGCATGAAACTTTAGGAATTCTTACAAATGTTGCAGAAGTGCATCTCACCCAGTTGATCAGATCTTTCTATTCCAGACAGTTCAGAAGCAATCTCAGCAATTAGAGAACATTGTAACATATCAGTGGTCATCTTTTTAATTTTGTTATAGGTGAATGTAAGCTGAATGTAGAGAAGACTTCCAAATAAGGTGGACTGATGTGCACAGAGAAGGAATGAAGTATGGATGTGAAGGAACGTAGGCCTTATTGCTCCTTGACAAAGAGCAGACGGGACAAGGAACGGCGCTATACAAATTCTTCCGCAGAAAATGAGGAGTGCAGAGTGCCTACGCAGAAGTCTTACAGCTCCAGTGAAACCTTGAAAGCTTTTGATCATGATTCCTCTAGGTTGCTGTATGGAAACCGGGTAAAAGACTTGGTCCACAGAGAAGCAGATGAGTATACCCGCCAAGGTAGGCAAGATGTTTTAATTCAGAATTTATAATTCATTAGTACCAAGTAACAAGGCATTCGTGCTGCAGGATAAGTATGTTATTATACCAGTTTCTTCAGTTTTGGTAATACTCTACACACATAGTACACTTCACTTGTATCTCCCTAAATCTTTTACCAAGATGGGAAAGCGTTGTGTTACCATCTTTGAAATAAATAAATGTGATGCACAGGGAAGTTAAATAAATGGCCTGTGTTGGGCAATGGCTCAGTGACAGCCTTGCAGACTCAGGCGTGAAGTATTCAGGCCTTACAGTTTAAAAAACAGACCCCCAGAATAAATTCGAATTATTAACAGATTGCCCAAAAGTTTGCCACTCCAATATAACTAAAGTGTAAATAGCTTAAAAAATTAATAAAAGTAAGCAACTACAACTGTTTCAAGAAGGCCAAGCCCTAGTAATATTTTCAGGGAAACATAATATATGTGGAAGAGCATACAAAAAATGCATTAGCTCAGTGCCTTTATCTTTTAGCTCACAAGAGTAGTTAACAGAGCACTGTGCAGTGGGTGGGGTAAATTACTTCACAATTTATTTATTTTTTTCGTTGGATATCTAGGATAACTAACCAGATGCTAACAGGTTGCTAGAGTGCTGGAGTTGAATTTCAGAGTGCAGGACTGGAGAGAGATGAGAGATCTAAATATCTATGGAGATGCTCAAAACCTGGCTGGGTATGGTCCTGGGCATCTTGCTGGAGCTGCACTTGCCTGTCCCTGAGCAGAGGGTTTGGTCTAGATCATTTAAGGAGGTTTCTTTGGACCTCAGTGGTTCTGGGAGATTGCACCTGAATCCAGTCAGGGTTAAGCAGTTAAGCAGTGTAGTCTCTGGAATTGACATTTCTACATTTCCACAGCTAAGCTACTTGCTGTAAGGAGGGAGAGAAAAAAAAAAAAAAGGTTAGGAAATGGTGGAGTACTGCAACCCAGCTATCTTAAATGATGAAGCTAGGCCAAAAGCTAGACCTACATGTCAGTCTTATCTATACAGTTTTTTTCTCTTTTATGAGGAAACAAGAATATATTTAAGGGTTGAAAGCTTCCTCCTTGTGAGGAAGTCCTCAGTTTTAATTTTAGAAACGTTTAAAAATATTTTCCTTTGCCTATTTGTGTTTCTTTCTTTGTTCCAAGTAGAATAACTTTACATTAGAATTAGAGCTGGGCAGATGGTGTTGACTTTTTTGCCTACAAATGTTTGCAAGGGAAATAAAAATATTTCTTGTAGGCTCCTGTAACTGAGGCTTACTGCTACTGTAGTCTGTCTGCCTTCTACTGTGTATTTTTTATTTCTGTGATGTGTTGAAACTTCAGGTCATCACTACTTTCTAGTTTTTAAGTCCCTAGACACTTTAATCGTATTATTTAATGAGGTAAAATAAAGAGTAAGTTTTCTAAGACCTGTACTGTAGACACATTCTTACTACTAGCGACAAATTTATATCAAAATAGGCACCATTTATTTAATGAATTCATAAACTGTTGCCTGAATAGAATGCTATTATTTTTAAATTCCAATAGAGAAGTGGAAGAAGTTACGTAGTCTGGCATGTCGCATATGATGGTGCACTGAGGCTTGGGGTTTTTTTCCTCTTCATTTTCTTCATAATATTTAGCTAATATTTACTGCCTAGTATGCAATAAATTACACACCTGTAGGCCTGAAATGGCAGTCTGGGATATGTAGTGTTGTCTTCACCCCTCAGTGGTCTCAAAACTGTCACCTGTGCCCGTTTGATTTTTACTGTTGTCCTTTGAGTTCTTTTTGTATGGCTTATTGGCTTCCTCAAATGTGTGCTCGTTTAGCACCTATGGGGACTACCTGCAGGTTTCATAGGGTCAAGTTATAAAGGGCTTGTTTTGCAGTCTTAGATAGTGTGTTCCTTTGATTCATCTTTGACGGAGAGAATTTACTGCTTCTGGCATTGGAAGCATTTTGTGGAAAAGGTGTTCAAGGTCATTCCAAAGGTTTTTAAATAATACATAAAACACCCTTCTCAGCATTTATTTATTTTTTCCCCTCTGTCTAGAAATAGAGTGCAGATATTGGCTTTGTTGACAGTCTAATTACATTCTGGCCTGCTAAATCAACAGGGAATAAATCTGTAAGGAAATAAGGCAAGATTTAATAAATATCTTTAATTGGAAATTAATTTTTCCAATGAATCATGACCAGTGTTTCACTTTTTTGCCCAGTGTAAAATACCAGTATAAAATTTCTAGTGTCCACTGGAAAGCTACTGGAGCAGTCACATGAGTTTTTCCAGTCTCTCAAAGGTAGCGCAATTTAAAAATGTCAGTGTGATTTTATGGCTGATATTTTGGAGTAAAGCCCTTCAAAGTTTTCTGCTAATGAATCATAACCATAACTTTCCTACCTTTTCTTCCTGAGCTGTCTCAGTACACGTATTTGTGCTTCTTCCTTCCCAAAATCCCTTGGTAGGAATTCAGAAAGGGATGCTGTCATGGGAGATAGGAATGACCTCTTGGGTAGGAGCTTTATCCCAGGAGATCTTTACTTGCAAAGAGGAGATTCTCCAGTTTGCAGTTCCAGTTACAGAATCTTTTTCATTGCCTGTTGAATTTTCTCAGGACCCTTCGTTTGCTGCAAAACTGGTTTTGTTTTTAAACTCTTCAGTTGAGGATTATTTAGCCTACTATTTTTAGAACTTCTAATTTAGGTATTTCATAGAATGGCATGGGCTGGAAGGGACCTTAGAGATCATTTAATCCAACCTCCCTGTCATGGGCAGGGACGCCTCTCAACTAGATCAGGCAACACAAGGGGACTGAGCAGCGATTAAACTCGCGGCCTTGGTGTTATCAGCACCACACTCAACCAACTGAGCTAACCGACTGTATTGTTTTCACTTTGTTGTTAATCTCCACATAAGATTTTAAAAAAATTGGTAAGCCTGTGAATAATTAAACTCAGCAGTAAATGAAGGCCATGAGCGTTTTTTCTTTAAAAGTGTTTTTAAACTAGATACTCAACTTTTTATTGCATATTTGAGAAGATGACTGATCTCATCCTTGACATTGGATGAAGCACCATTAAAGGCTATTTCCTTTCCAAGGTGTGATGATATGATTGTCTGCTGTTTATGTGTTAGGGAGGAAGAAGACACTATTTTCTTCTGCTTTGAAGTATCCAACTATAATGAGCAGCCTGATTTAAGTGTACAACTTCTCTAATTGAATTCAGCAACCTAAACACCTGTGTTTTGGAATATGCCCAAGTATATTGCTGAATTCATAAAGCTGACTACATAAAGTTGAATTTCTCCATTGTACAGAGAGAAGTTCCTGTGTTTACAGAATTAAACTGCTGTGTGAAGTGATATAAAGTACATAGGAGACTGCTGTGCAAAAATATCTGAAAGTGTGATGTGACTATGGGATGGGAAGGAAAGATTGTAGAGATGTGGAAAGTAAGTAGTATTTTTCAAATTGCATTTGTAAAAAATAATCTGAAATAATAATGTAGGAATATGAACATAATTTGAAGGAAATCATGAATCAAACCTGGACTCACTTTTATTGAGTGTTACGTGAGTAAGAAAAATACAGGCAGGCAAAAACTGTATTTTCTTTACTATCAGATACCTGTTAAAGGGAAGAGAGAAATATGCAATATCTCTCTTAAGAAGTATTTGTCTGTGTTCCATTTCAAAGAATTTTGTTGCTTCAGGACAGTACCGTGATCCTATAGAGTGATCTACATATGTCAGTGAGCTTTTGCACAGGAGCAGGAGGCTGAGCCATGAACTCTTGTAGCATGAACTGTAAATTTGTGCATGTTCAGGTTTGTATACAAAATAGTTTGCAAACAACAATGTGATTCTGTGAATTAAAAAGCAGCACAGCTTTTGCAAGTAGAAGATCCGATGAAGTAGTGCAGTTGCAGGTTTTGTTAAATTTTTACTTTTTGAAAGCCAGAGTCAACTGTGGTTTAGACTGCAAGTAAAGTTATTTGGTCTTTTGAGCTGGCAGTGAGAATGAGTTTGTGTTTATCAATCAGAACAATTAATTGTTAGCGAAGCCTCAACATCAATTTATTTTCATGCTACCTCTTTCAGTTTTGCAGGAGAAAGTACTTCTGTGCATGGTTTTGTGCCTTTACTCTTCTGGAATATTCAAGTGCCTAGATTAAATTAAGTGCCACAGTAACTCCTTGGAGCTGCAAAAGGAGCGAATGAATTTACCAAACAAGCGAAGAAAAAGAATTTCTTTCCTTCACAATGTGCTGAATCACTGATGCCAGCTTGCTGAAAAGCAGAGTTGTGTACAGGACGTTACAGTGTGTGAATGTAGCTATAGTTCAGATGTCACTCCCATGACAACTAGATTTTGGTGCTAGAAAAATCTCACTATTCAGTGAAAGAAGGCCCTGAAACAGTGATATATATGCTTTGACAATTTTATTTTATTATTTAAGATATTTAACACTGTCAGGGATACATTTTTAAGACTTCAGAAACCTGAAACATTAATTGCAACTTCTATCCTGAGGTAATACGACTCCAAAGTCTACTGCTTTTAAATACTAGCTACTCAGAATGAGTTATTTGGATAACAAAATGTTTAATCTTTTTAGTCACCGTAAATGTGAGCTGTGGGATTAAAGGATTTAAGTGGTCACGTTTTTAAACCTAAAGCCTAAACCTTTAGTACTCTAAACTTACCTGTCTGAAGCAGTGCAAGGATAGATATGTAAGGTAATTTTTGTCCTTATGCTACCTGTGCTTTACTGATGATCTGATTTTGACTATTGAGTAGGCAAGTTCTCGATAGAACTGAATCAGCCTTCTTTGAAGATTATTTACAAGAAGGTGTGAAGTAATACTTGTGACTTTGTGATCTGCCAATGAGCAAACTGATCACCATTCAGTGACATGGCAAGTGCTATCTCTCAAAATCTAAGACAGATATGAGAATTAGTGTTTTATGTTCCTGGCTGCA